AACCTCTAGCCAGATCTGTGTGCCAAGACTTTGATGCTAGCCTTCATGACAGTAGTAGGGAATTGCTGTGCAACAGTGGGATCCATTGGACGGCGCAGGACGGGGTTGTGTTTCCTTTTGTTGACACAGGGTCGCTATGAGTTGGAAATGACTCAACGCACCTGACGTTACAGGCTGGGGAAAGAATGGTTGTTGTCTCAGCAGCATAAATATACCAGGCAACTTGTTTTCTTCACGCAGTATGTTTTAGATATCCTTTTAGCATTTTAAATTAGGAGATAGGATTATGCCTCCACATAATTTTCAAGGGCAGTCGGTTACCCAGTTTGCTGACGTACTCTATTATTGTTTTCAGGTGCAGGTGGCAGCATTATCACCACTTTTGAGCAGTTAGTAAAAGGAACTTGGAAACGAGAAGCTGATGACTGGTTGAAGATGTCTTAGTAAGTTGGCATCAAATCAACTCCTATTTAAAAATTTTGACTCTCATCAAATTTGTTTTTAGAAGATTTAATGGGCTTTAAATGTAGATGAAACATAGCTGCTGAAAATACCTGCAGGGAAGAGAACGAACAAATTTTATTCTCACAAAATGACTGCTATTTCAAATTCTGTGCAGAATCCCTTCTCCGTATGTCTTTCTTCAGAAAAGGAAAGAAAAGAAGAAAAAAAATACACTTTTAGATTGTGAAGAGAATGTATTTTATGAAGAGGGGTAAAAACTAATCAATTTTGACATTTTTAAAGTGACTAACTAGTTAACAGTCTTGGAAACCCACAGGGCCACTGAGGGTTGGACTTGACTCCAAGGCACCGAGTAGGATGCATGGAGTGTGAATGAGGAATTGGGAGTCACGAAGAACGGGATGGAGTGCATAAAGAGGGAGCTGAAATGGACGGTGTTGGATCAGACAGTCATGGCTTACTGTGCTGGGAAATGAGGAATGGCACTGCATTCGTTGTCCAAAATAACAGTTCAGGATCTTTCTTGAAGTTCAGTGCTGCCTGTGACATAATGTGTATTCAAGGAAATCCAGTTTAATACAACTGTTATTCAAATTTGCACACCAATCTTTAAAGCTAGTGATGCAGAAACTGAAAAATTCGGTTAACTTCTTCAGTCTGAAAATTGATCAAAAATGCAATTAAGATGCATCAATGATTGCTGGGGATTGGAATGTAAAAGTTGGAAGCAAGGGGGAAGGAACTTTAGTGGAAAAATAAGGTCTTTCTGGTATAAATACAAAGCTGTGGATTGCATGATAGAATTTTGCAAATACTTTCTTTCAATAACACAAATGGTGGCTATACACATGGACTTCATAGATGGAATGCACAAGGATCAAATTGACGACATCTGTGGGAAAAGATGATAGAGAAGCTCACTATCAACCAAAATGCGTCTGGGGGCTGACTGTACCAGACCATTAGTTGCTTATTTGTAAGTTAGGTTTGAAGTTGAAGGAAGTTAAAATAAATGTGAGAAAACTAAATTACAGCCTAGGGTATATCCACCCTGAATTTAGAGATCATCTCAAGAACAGATTTGACACATTGAACACTAATGATTAGGACATCAAGAATATACATTAAGAAAGCAAAAGGTCATTAACAAGACAGGAAAGAAAGAAAAGATCAAAGTAGATGTTGCAGACCAGCTAAAGCAAATGAAAGTAAAAATGAAGTAAAAGAGAATTTCAAAGGGTAGCTCCAGAAAACAAAGTAAGCTATTATAATGAAGTGTGCAAAGACATGGCGTTAAAAAACCAAAAAGGTTTGTTCAGCATTATCTGAAGCTCAGAGAACTGAAGAAAAATTTAAAGCCTTGGTTTGCAATATTGAAAGATTCTGAACAATACGGGGACAATATTGAACAATACAGGAAGCATAAAAGAAGATGGAGGGGATGCACAGCCACTGGACCAAAAGGAGCTAATTGACACTGAACCATTTCAAGAGATAACATGCTCAAGAACCAAGTTGCACTCAAGACATTAGCAAAAAACAAGCCTCTAGGAATTACCAGAATACCAATTAAAATGTTTCAAAAAACCCACGAAGTGCTGGAAGCGCTCAATCGTCTGTGGTAAATTTGGAACACAGCTACCTAGCCAACTGACTGGGAGAGAGATCACAGGCAAGTGCAATTTTGCTGCAGATCGTTCAACAGTGGTTGTACCAAGTACATTGACAGGGCGCTGCAAAAACTCAAGGCAGATTCAGAAGAGGATTGAGCATAAGGAATATCATTGCTGATGTCAGATGGGTCCTGTCTGAAAGCAGAGAATACCAGAAATACTTGTGTTATATTGACTGTGCAAAGCTATTCAACCGTGTGGACCATAACAAACGATGGACAACTTAGAGAAGAATGAGAATCCCATAACATTTCTTTGTTGGTCTCCTGTGGAACCTGTAATGAACCAAGAAGCAGTTTTTCAATAGAACAAGGAAAGACCGAGTAGTTTGAAATCAGGAATGTGATATGGCAGTGTTGTACCCTTTCACCATATTTATTCTATTTGTATACTGAGCAGATAATCCAAGAAGCAAGACTTCCTCATGTTTGGACATGTTATCTGGAAAGGAACATGCTTTGGCAAAGTAGTGTGTCAGAGAAAAAGAAGAAAAGCCTTGGTGAGATGGAATGATGGATGTCGTGTTCTAGGAAGAATTTTGAGGACAAAAACTGGGTTCTGTTCTGTTGTACCTTTATAGCACATAGCAATAAAGGAAGTATTCCTATGAAATCATGGACTTTTATTATACAAAAATAACAATGTGAAGCTGTTCTTATCTGGACATATCTTCCATCTGGGTCTCTTCATTTCTGAAGGTGTGTTGCCATTTTGTAACCATTCCTCAAAGACTTGCGCTCGTTGATGTCTGCTGTGTCAGAATGGCAGTGTTGGCGTCCTCGAGGGACTCATCGCATGCTCCTTTGACATGTTCTTGATTTGTCTGAAGAGGCCGCTTTGGGACTCTTGGATGGATGGGGTGTGGTTTCCCAGTGAGATTCGCATCATGCAGCCTTTACTACCCTCGAAGGGTCGTCATGGACAAAATTTCTTGACAACTCTTTACCTTTTTCTCACCAGTTCACGTTTCGATTTTCTTGAAACTTCTTTACAATCAATCCTTATGATTATTCTTTGTTCTTTGTGAAAAGCTATAAAAATTACTCCTTTGGTAGCCCCTGAAACAGTCCACAACCATCTGGAGATCCCTGGAGATCCCCTCAGCAGCACTGTTTTGATTGGACCTGTTATTTTTCGAGGTTCCCTATTGAGTTCAAGCAAGTGTCTTGCTGACAGAGCTTCTTGGTAGCCATGCACTTGGTGCAGAGCCATGTTTGAAACCTGCTTTGCTTGGAGGGACAGGTCATCTGTCAACTGGGTCTCTAGGAGCAGTGCTTTTTGAGGAGCCCTCATAGACCCTACAAGGTTAATGGGAATGTATTAAAATATTAGCTAAGGCTATAAGCAGTGACGTTTTGTACTGGTTCATACTAGTTCATTAGAATTTATTATCTCTTCTGCATTCCATGCCAAGGGACATCATGTTGACAGCCTGAAATTGGCAATCATGAAATTACTTATAGCTGAGAAATTGGCAAAAGCTACAAATTAGGACTTCCCCTTCCTCTTGTCTATGTCCCTCTCGTCTATGTCTCAGGTTTACCACTATAAAGTTTCTCTTAAGTAGGCTAGCCTATTTTTCTAAATCATGGTGTGGAATATGAGGCTTTCAAATCCTTTGTGAAAAAAATATAATATGTTCAAATATATTTCAGAAATACTGTGCCTAGAAACTTCCTTTCCTTTTTGGAATCATAATATATATTTATATAAACAAAGTGATGTCTTTGACAATATGAATATGTGTTGTAAAGAAACCTATTTAACTTTATATAATTCAAAAATTCGTAAACCTTATGCACACAGAACTCATTTTATATCTATTGATATCAGCATTAAATTAGCATTTGCAGTGTTGTGAGAAAGACAGAACATGCTTTCTATTTACTGATTTAAAAATGTGTTTTTCAGTTGCTTATTGACTTAAAATGTGTTTTATTTTCAGCCCTTCCAAGATAACCTTGCTGGGGTCAGTTATGTTCACATTCCAGCACACCAAGCATCTGGCAATATCAAAGCACAATCTGATGTTCTTCTATACTGTCTTTATTGTGGCCACAAAGGTAAGAATTGCAAGTAACTATGAATCAGTTTTAGAAATTCTATATAACCAATCCCTTTTGATAGAATTCTGCATAGTAGGCAATAACTTTTATTTTTATTATTGCAATTTCAAAAGATGAATTTTGGGTATTGACTCAGCACAACTATGACTCTCTGAATCATAGACTGAGGTAGTTAGTTTATTGTGCCAACCTGGCCGATAAACACACGTGAGGTTAATTGAAAGGCAGAGGGATAAATGGCTTTGTGAGCCTTGCCTTTCTAGTTCTCGGGTCTCTTGCTTTCTGGTGGTCGGACCAGGGTGTAGCTGCCTTAGCCAGTTTCCTGCTTTAGCTTGCAAGGCTCACTTCCTGCAAGACATCCCTGAGGATAAGCCACATGGACCTACCCCAATGCAGCCCTGGGTGCTGGAGCAGCCGTGTGGAGACCCCTGCCAGTGCTGAGATGCTTACACGTTCACTGATTCGGCTTTCCTCCTGCAGTCGGCTTCATTGCATGTGTTTTGTGAGATGGAGAAGGACTTTGTGGATTGGTGTTGGACATATGGGTTAATCAGTTACGTTGGACTTGTGGGCTTGGGCAGCACTGGGTTGGGATATTTTCTTGATGCACACTTAACCTTTATATAAAGCTTTCTCTTATACATATGAGTTTCTGTGGATTTGTTTCTGTAATGTACCCAGACTAACACATAGACCTTCTGTGATTCCTCTTGTTTTAGCATAGACTTTAGATAGCCCAGGACTCTCTGGGGGCCAGAGATTAGTAGGTGTAGTCAGTGCTTGTTAGATAGTATATGAGCATTGTTGTCTCATTTGCAATATGAGGTTCTTTGACTAGATTTTTCCTGAATTTCTTTATCTTTTTTTAACATTTCATTGTGTCTGAATTTCTTAAGGTTCGTAAAATTTCAGGATTTTATATTAGGACATATTGTTAGTTAAATTCTGTTATTATGGGGCTGAAAACTTTATTCCCTCTTGCACATAGGAGGTTGTATGATATAATAGCTTTTAGAAATACTCCTGGTCAATCATTTGTTCAAATTCCAGTTTTGCTTACTAATCCAATTGTTTCTGAATCCCAGTTTCTTCGTTGTGCCTGTATGCTTGTTGAGAGAAATGTAGATGATTCCTGTCATTTTATCACTATGCCTGACATATCTTAGGAACTTTATTCACAGCTATATCATGAGGCTATTATTAGTACTCTTACCATTACGGGAGATAGTTTTCAGAAAGTAGATTTTAAGTAAGGTTACCATTTAAGCCTAGAAAAATTTTATAGCTAGCTCTATCTCAAACTATGTAATTTTAGATAAAATGTTACCTACAGGATTTTTTTTTTGGGGGGGAAGCATTATGTATATATTATATAACTATATAAATTTATTTTATCTTTTTGTTTATCCATTCATCAGCTGATAAACATTTGGCTATTATGACCAATACTGCTGCTACATATGAGTTTTTGTGTGAATGTACATTTTCATTTCTCTTTGGTATATGATCCTTGGAATGCAGTTGGGTCATATGATAACTATGTCTAACTTTTTGAGGAACTGATGGATTGTTAACAAAGTGGTTATTCTATTTTCCATTTCCATTAACAGTGTTCTTTATGTTTTCTAGCACCATAAGGTATAATCTTAGGTCATTACTTTTATCTGTTTTCATCTAGTATAAACAGTAAAACTAAAATTTCTCTCTAAATGTTCTTAGCTCCATCCCACAGATGTTAGTATTTTGTTTGCATATGGTTCAAAGTGTTATTTAATTCTCTTTGTGATAATTTTCTTTGACCCATAGCTTATTTCTGAACCAAAAGCCAAACTCACCGCCACTGAGTCAATGCCGACTCACAGTGACCCTATAGGACAAGGTAGGACTGCCCCTGTGAGTTTCCGAGATTAAGTTTTTGCAGGAGTAGAAAGCGCCGTCTTTTTCCCAAGGAGAGCTGGTGATTTTGAACTACAGACCTTGCAGTTAGCAGCCTAATGCATAACTACTATGCCACCAGAGCTTATAATAAGTATATTATTTGTCTACGTTATTTTTTTGTAATTGATTTTTAATTTCATTTAATTCTGATCAGAGAACATGTACCATATTTTTCTCAAGTGTTTTTTTTTTTTTT